CTGCTCGAACAGGTGATGGCTGGGAAACCGCGGATCTGTGGGAACCCGGGAAGCAATGAAACGAGGACTCCCTCGGGACACACGCACACGCTTTCAAAACACAAAGCTCTGCTTCGATTTGGAAAAGTAAGCTGCAATCTGGGGAAAGCAAAACTGTACGAGCTGGTTCAGCTGGAAGAGCTACCCTCCAGGTTACATTTCTCTTGCTTCTGCCTCCTGTGTATAAAAGGAACCAATGCTCGAAAAACCAGCACAGCCGGTAATTCGCTGGAATCAGGAACGCCTTTTAGAAATTCTACTCTAATGAAGCCAGTGAAGGATTCCAGGGATTACTTTAAAACATACAAGAATTCACAAAATTTTGACACCATTTGCTGACCAGACATTTAGAAAAAATTTTTATATATATTTTTGGTGTGTAAAATATCTATGAAATAGATGTGTAAAATATCTATGAAATCATTATGATATCATTATGTGTACACACATTACATCTATATGCCTACTTATAGACACACACTACCTATTTTGTTTGCTATGCTGTATCATTTCAGCTAACCTTAACAATTTTCTTGCAGTACAGAAGTAGTCCGGACAGTTTAAAGAGTTGCCGGTGGAAACCAAGGCGTATGGACAGTGCTAGCTATCTAAAACATACCAAATCACAACTTTATTGCAGCAATCACTTAGACACTGATTTCATTTTGTACATGTATAAATACACAGATTGATGGTAGTTACAGATGACACAAGATTACATCAAGGAGGGAAAAAGATACTGGACCACTGGAATTTTTGGCAGCTACTAGTCCAGTCGCATCAAACAGGATGTTCTGGTCTTCAGGCCCTTCCAAACATTTCATTTTGTGCAGTGTAAGTGCGTATCATACAACAAGTGGGCTTTGTATGTTAATGGAAAGGAAAATGCTCACCTGGTATGAAGAAAGGATCTCTGTCCTGAGGTGGCGGAGGAGGGAGTGGTGGGGGCGGTGGTGGTGGTCCTCTCCACTGATCCTGGATTGGCAGCCTTGGTGCTTGGGAGAAGTTGGTAGGAACTGGTCCAGGCGTATGCTGCTGGAAGTCTGGAGGGCCCTATCCAATAAGGCAGAACTAAGATTAAGACTACTATCCAGGAATTCATCTATTGCCTGCTATAACTTTTTTCTCTTAAAAATACAATTGCTTTACAACTTATCTTCTATCATCTGTACAAATTGGCAGCTCTTACCGAGTTATTCTTTCACAACAGAAGAGATATTAAACCCTGGTACAGTATCTTGAAATGAACTCACAATGTTTTAATCATCACTAGCAC